GAAATTGTTTTCATAATAGATATATAACTATTACAGTACTTTTAACGTGATCATCGCTCTTAATTTATGTTACTTAAAATTCGCAATATACTAAGAACATTTACGACAGTTAGTATTACAAATTAACAGTATCATTGCTTAGTTGTTAATTAACCCAACTTATCAACCCGAGATAAAGGTAAATTTGAATCTGGCCGACTTTAAAAACTTTTTGCGTAAACTTCAATTAACTATTGCGGTGCAAAATACCGGTATCTACTCGTAACTTAATTTATTACAGAGATGATAACAGTTGTAGGTACTGTGTGTTACTAATTTCTACATACTACTTGAAATAAGATCAGTAATATCTAAGCAATATGGTGACATTTAATGTTTACTACTATAGTAGCAGTTGAGACAATAATTCTGACCTCTGGCCTCGCCGGTACCTAACTTGAACATAATTCTTAAATATAACGTTTCTTATTATAGCTTATACATAGTTAAATGGGCACTTAATAACCATTTATCACATTTCATTACAGATTATTCTTTTTTATTTTTATAGATTATACTTTATTTGATTGTAAAGTCAAATGTACGTGACTTTTTTCAAATAAATCAATACGGGTTAGATAATTACTTATTAGATAGGGGCACACCATCCTGGCTAAGCAAGACATCTTTTTATGTTAGAATCCCATTGGTTAATGTGTGATGATGAATGATATTTGTTCTTATTTTCTAAATAGCTCTTGTAAGTTAAGTTTTTAAACAAAATTATTTTGGGAATAGAAAATCATATAGAAAATAGCACTATGTGGAAACTAGTATTTTAAAATAAATAAAAATGTTCGGTTTGACTTTTTAAAATTTTTATATTTTGATTTCTTTTCGTAATAAACTAATAATAGGATGTACTAATGATAGGTATAGATTATGTTGAAGATATACATAGAAAATATAATATAGGTATGTGTATTTGTAAAGTAGATATAGATACAATTTTTTATTTTATAACTTAAAGAAAGTTGTAGTATTTCTATCTAATTCTTTATATCAATTATTATACAACGACTAGTACTAACAAAGTTCTTTTTCTCAAAATATACAAACGTGTGAATTTACTTCTATGTATATGTTGTTTCATCTTCATCACAATTTTTCATAATGTTTTTTTTATTGTCTTTCATCTTTCTTTAAAATACAATATACATATATGTATATATATATATATATATATATATATATATATATATATATATATATATATATATATATATATATATATATATAATTTCTTTAAAATGTATATATAATAATTAAGAATATTGTACTGTTTTTAAGTATTAGTATTTGTTTTAACTATTATAAGTGACTGGTGTAGGTACAGGATATGGAATGGGACAATTTCCACCACAACGCCCGTTACATCCGCAGCCGCATCCACCTCCGCATCCCCCACATCCGCCTCCAGAACCACCGCCGCGATTATCGAGCATCATCAGCATTAATATGGGCAACATGCTGTTAAGACCATCACCTCCATCTGATCCACCAGATCTGAGAATCACAGGATATTGTGGTGTGTTGTAACCATTGTTGAATTGACCTCCATATCCATATTGTGCGTAGACGTACACCTGAAAAATAAAAAAAAATTGCAATAAAATAACATGTTGAAGTCACTATTATATTAATAATTATAACATACATAATCAACAAAATCCAAAAATTAAATTATAATTAATAATTATAAAATTCATTTATAAATAAAACTCTTACTTATAAATGAGTTATAATTATTATAATATTATTACGGGTCACTAATAAAAATAACAATAGAGACAAAATTTTAATTAGGTATACCAAATTATTTGTATATACTACGAATATATGTATATTATATATTATTATTGGCTGACGCAATGAAATAATAAATAAATATCCTTACGTTAAAACTACTCAGTAGAACTAAGTAAGTAAACCAAGAGAACGACTCCATTTAGATAAATATACTGTTCTTAATATAAATTATATTAAAAAAATGTGCCCGTACTCTACTGTATTCAATACAGTATGTACTGATATAAGAAATAACTAATTGATGATCTTTTATATAAAACTGTTGTTATCGATGTAGCCTTTTGTAATAATGCATCAAGATAATGTTCTTAGTTTTGTTATTTGACAATAATCACGACTAGAAAGTGTTTCTATATATGTTGAGTAATTTAAATGTCACATTAGTGTCAGCCTTATCATTATATTATATTTATCATCTTGAATATATGTATCTTCGGAATAAAATATTGTAAGTTTCTAAATAAATTTCTTTATAAGTTCTAGAGAAAATATTTCGATATGATCTAGCATAATATAAAAATAAAGAAAAATCGGAGTAGAAGTCGTAAAATAGTCTACTGGCTAACCATATATAGTTAATAATTATCATGATGGCTTCGTCGGTCTAGCGGTTTAGCACATCACCTTACTTCCGTTGGTCGCGGGTTCGATTCCTCGCACGCCACAAACATTTGTATTCATGAGTATGATTGTTTGTATCGATCTGGGTGTTTTCTATGTATAATATGTATGTATTTACAAAATAAATAACTGTGTATTTGTATCAGTTATCACACATAACACAAACTTTAGCTAGCTTAACTTGGGACTAGATGTCGCTGTGTGTACTGTCCTGAGATTATTATTATTATTATCAATTTACAAATGCACTGCACTTGTACAAATGCAATTTCTACAGATTACATTATGCTATGCTGAAATGAATTTCCTACTTTATTATACCTTATCTTTCTATAACAAAAATCTTTTATATTTTTTTTATTCTCGCTATTTCGTTACTTTATTTAGCTTTAGTGACCTTTCAAATTTTTTTATTTATTCTGTACTGAACAACTGTACAAAGACAAGCTTAATGCTGTGTAACATTCTCTACCAGTTAACCTTTGGATATAAAGAGAAAGTATTTTGTATCAGTATGTGCGAGAACTTTTCTTAATCAAGCCTAAGTATATAAATCTTGATTTTGCAATATTTTCAAATAGATCGAAGATTTCTGTTTTTTTTTATAATTTTATACATTGTGCCTAGAACTGTATTTTCTGTAACAAACTGAACTATAAAGAGTTTCATTCATTAACTTTTTTTTTAATTCCCCTTAAGTAACATTTACTACGATATGGTCTCGTCAAATAAATTTTACTTATTTTATATTAAATCAACAAGGAAACGTCCAATTTGGGTTAATACCAGTCGTGGTGAGAAACTATCTGTTTCGTTTATGAAAAATGAAATCTTAAATTGTCCTTTCATAGTATACTCGTAGTCCATCAATTCTTATCGTCATGTACTTTTTGTTAAATTAATTCATTGATAAAAGCTATGGCTACACTGTTTCTTATATATATAAATATTGATTATAAAACCTAAACATTTCTAAAATCTAAATAATGCTTTATATAAAAATATTTTTTTATAGCCATAGGTTACTTGGGCAATACGTATATTTGTGTGTAATTTTTTTTATATGACCTTATCAAAAATTTAATATTTTTTTGAATAGGTACTTATTTTAAAATCAGCTGTTCAGAAGACTTTGTAAAACGAATTCAAAGAAATTTATGTATTTTCATCGAATAACATTTTTGTGTTATCTGCAAAATCTTGATTCAAAGGATTTAAATGATTAACGTTAATTAATAATCCTCAAAGAAGCGACTTAACAATTGAATTAATAAAAGGACTTTACGCTTAATGTATTCATTTCGTGTTAAGTCCTTTTGCACTTAATTTATTGTGGGGTACGTAACTTACTTTCATTTGTTTAGACAATTATTAAAATAGCTGTTTTAATTATTTAATCTAGCTCCTTTTCCAAGTCCCCAATGGTTTGAATGGTCTGTGATAACCGGATTATAAATGATTATATTTTCTTGTTTCGATATATATCGTCCTAAAAGAATACATTATCCATACTTAATATTACACATTTGAAAGTGTGTCTTTCTGTCTGTCTCTTAGTTACCTTTTCGCGACTAAACATCTTTTAATGAAATTAAATGTGAACATACATTGTATTACAACGACGGACATGGACTTATGTGTTATGTAAAAAAACAGACGTAGTCTCTGGTAACTGTTAGTGTAAAAATATAACAATAAGCACAATGCGTGGTATGATATTAAATTGACATTATTCTAAAAATGAACAAGATTTCGGCAGTCGACAATTTTAGAAAAGAAGTATTTTTTTTATATACATATATGTTTGTTTTACAGATAAAATATAAACGTTACCGACAATGTTATGCCGGAAGTTCAGACTTGTTCTCTACAGAGTTCCACAGAATCCTATTGTTGTGACAACAAAGTATGTCTGTCTGTAATGGATCTAAACTATTTTCGGTTTAAATTAATACATATTATATACTAGATGTAACCCGCGACTTTATCTGAAGAAACTTTCCTCCATATTTCACCGTGTTCCAGGTTATTTTAAATAAAAGATGTACTACTCGTGATACTGTGTATCTTATTCTACGTAATATTATGTAATATTATGTTATCTGTGGTAATATTCATTAAGGTCCATTCATATCAAATAACAGGCACTTTCGCATTAAGAATATTTTGTATGATTTATTTACAATGAAACCACAAATAATAAATTTATATATAACAGTTTTTACGTCATCGTGGTTAGTAGTATTGGTTATATTATTATAATAATAGAATGCAATTTTACTACATCCTAATAATTTATTCCTTATTTAAAAGACAAAGAATAGGTACAAAATGTGAAAAGAAAGTAAAATTGGTCATATTATATTAGTTTTAATAGTAATAAATAAATAATCTTATGCTAAGTATACATTTTTTCATATACGCAATTTTATATAAAAATTCATTTCGCTTAAATTACATATATTAATTAAATATTCATCACAGTCGAATGTATTTATAAATTATTTAAAATTATAAACATTATTACAAAGCTAATCTTCATTGTCTTCACATGTAGCGTTACAATCTTCATCTATTTCTCTACTGTCAGTTTCTTCTCCATTGTCATTATCTTTTTCTTGGCTACTTTTATTTTTCGATCTGTTTGTATCAAAATCTTCGTTACTATCATCTTCCATCGGTGGAATTTCATCGTAATGCGATCCGTAGTTGTTTTGTTTCGCGTATCCACTGAATATTTGAGGATTTGGCATGTTATCGTTTACGCATCCGCAGTGACACCCACAACCTGAGTTTTTCTCTTTCAATAAATTAAATATGAGAGGTAACAGTGCCTTCAAATTGGGTGATTTTGAACTTTTCTTCGCTATTATTGTATTCAATAGTGAATCAGCAGAATAACCTGTTGCTAGTGGTCCATAATTGAGAGGTTCAGGCATTGTAGGTGGAAGTGTGGGTATTTGATTTAGATTTATTGCAGGAAGTTGATTTTGAATCCCGTCGAGTGAATGTTGAGGTTGCACAGATTTTATTATTGCTATTTGTTTCTGATAATCCATTGGGAGATTTTGTATTATATTCGGATCTTGTCCAGGTTGTGTTAATACTGTTAAACTTGGTTGATTGTTAATAGATGTTTCAGGAATCGTTGGAAATTGGTTTGGCGACGCTTGATTGATATTTAGCGCTATGTCAGTTGACGGGATTTGTCCATTTTGAATAAAACCTGTGTATTTCATTCCGACATTTGGATGAAAATTAAAATTAGATGCAGTGGATCCTTGATTTAAATGAGATTGTATCCCCTGATTAGAATTTATTCCAGATGTTAGAGGTTTATCAGGTAATGGGTTATTTATACCTGCCAAATTGGAATTGAGAATAGGCGAAGAAGTTTGAAATGCACGAGGCTGTTGATTTGGAAACTGTAAATTATTCATTTTAGGTATTACATTCTGTTGTTGAAACGAATTCGGATGAAAACCTGATTGTTGAATATTCAGTTGTTGTAAATTTTTGCCTTGTTGCAAATTGACCGCTTGCTGAAAATTCCCTGTTTGTTGCAAATTAGGCGCTTGCGGTAAATTCCCGTTTGGTGGCAAATGTGGCGATTGTTGTAGATTTCTTATTTGTTGCAAGTTAGGTACTTGCTGTAAATTCCCTACTTGTTGCAAATTAGGCGCTTGCTGTAAATTCCCGATTTGTTGTAAATTAGGACTTTGCTGAAAATTCCCAATTGGCTGCAACTTTGGCGATTGTTGTAAATTCCTTATTTGTTGCAAGTTAGGCCCTTGCTGTAATTTCTCGATTTGTTGTAAATTAGGCGTTTGCTGAAAATTCCCAATTGGTTGCAAATTTGGCGATTGTTGTAAATTCCCTATTTGTTGCAAGTTAGGCCCTTGCTGTAAATTCCCGATTTGTTGTAAATTAGGAGCTTGCTGTACATTCCCTATTTGTTGCAAATTAGACGCTTGCTGTAAATTCCCGATTGGTTGCAAATTTGGCGATTGTTGTATATTCCCTATTTGTTGTAAGTTAGGCGCTTGCTGTAAATTCCCGATTTGTTGCAAATTTGGCGATTGTTGTATGTTTGGTTGCTGTAAATTAACTGGTTTTTGGATTTTATTAATCTGTTGGATATTTAAACTTTTTTGTGGTTTGGGTATTTGATTCAAATTCTTCGGTATTATCAGCCCATTATTATGTAATGCTGATGATATTATAGGATTGTTTAAACCTGTATTTGGTAGTGCATTCAGATGGCCAATGCTTATCTGAAAGAAGAAATAAAAATATCAGTATATTAAAAATAAAAAAAACAACGAGTTTATTACGTATTAAATGGCTATATTGAAATAGTAATATTAATTAAATAACAATATCATTAATCGTACACTAGCATTATTAATATTAAGATATAATATAATTATCTTACCTGTAAACACAGATTAAAAATAAATACGTGTAAAATTCTTGTTAACCACATCTTGAAAATTTGTTAAATGACAATATTGAACTCTTATATACAATTATATCTTAAAAAGTGTTGTAACAATTTATCTGCAGAAGACGATAATCATCATTGGATGTTTAAATCTCTGTCACGTTCATTACGTAATTGCAATAAAATGAAATGATAAAGCAAATTAAGGCAACTGATATAATCTAAGATAATTAAAAATTATTCCATTTCATGTATTTATAATTGCAAGGCGCGTGTATTATAATATAAATAAAATTAAAATAATTTTCAATATCACCGGTATAGAAAAATGAGTGACCTATAGGTTTTTCAACAACAACTAATAACCTATATACCCTAGTTAATTTGTACGTATTATATAAACCATTATATTTACCATTGTTTATGAGTATGTTGAAAAGGTTTAAAACCGTGTAGTAATTTTAAGAAATAACTACAACTCTATGCGATGAAATCACAAACATAATTGATGTTTTTTTTTATAAATTACAATTAATACATTTTTGATTCTAAACCAGATGGAAAAAACCGATGTTATTTATAATACGTAACCTTCAAATTTCGTATGAACATTGTTTTCAAAAAACTTTTAGAAAATTTAATTTATTAATATTGGCAATTCAAAGGTAATCATTTTAAAAGTACGAAAACTATTTCTGCGTGCAGGAAATGTTTCCGTTAAGACATACGAGTAGTATTTGTAAGATTACAGCAAGGGGTGAGGCTATAGCTATTATGCTTCTCGTGTTAGAAATTACACTAGATATATATGTAAACGTAAAAGTAATATAGACTGAGAACAGTCGTATACAATTCTACTACTGTACACCTGTACTATGGAATAAATCAGTATAAAGGACTTATGTAATCTCAACTTTACTGGATAGTAGTGAATACCCTTAAAGTCGTTTAATATATGCAATAAGTTCAAACAATCTGACGAAATTAGGTGCTCCTATTGTACCCAAATGTAAAAACCGTGACTGAAACAAATGGAAGGGACTGGGCGGTCCTTTTAATGGCTCTATCAACTTTATGAACAAAGAACATTTCACAGTACAGAATTACGAAGTTAACAATGACATTTTAGCTTTCTCCTTTTTATTGTATAAAAATGTAAATATTACACTGGAGTACAGTATTTATATTTAAAATATACCACAATAATTAAATAGTTAATAATAAAGAAATCTATTTTGTGTTATGGAATACTAATTCTTTCGATAAGGTACAAATCGTAGGTCGGGGTATTAATACAGAAAATAAAATGATTATTTACGTATACATAAGTCATTTATTCAAGCACTGATTGTGTTTGTTAGAATATAAGGTAGGTTACAGATTACGATAACAGCTATAGTTTGTATTTTCTGATATTACAAATAAAATATACTCAGACCTTAAATTTATGAAATTGTTTCCACTGCAACTAAAACTATTTCATATATGTATAGCGTTACTATAATATTTATAATAAAATTCTATACTAGACGGATCAACTGAGTTGTATTTCAAAATAACCAAAAATATATTTTATATTTTTGGTTCAGAAAACACAACCGTATTCATACTTTGATGTAAGACATTAAAAAATTACTTGCTGAGCACAAATTACAGAATTAATTACTTAATTCATGTATTAATATTATTTATATTATAAACTAGCTATACCCGCGACTTCGTCCGCGTGGTTTTTAACTTTATTTTTCGAAAATAAAAGTAGCTAAGTTACTCCTTATTACATCAGCTACCTGCCAAAAAAAGTCCCGTCATAATCGCTCCATTCATTTCAGAGATTAGCCGGAACAAAAAGACCGACAGACAGACAAAAATTATAAAAAATGTTATTTTGGTATATGTATTCATGTGTATGTAGTAAAAAACGGTTATTTCAATATTACAAACAGACACTCCAATTTTATTTATATGTATAGATAATAAACTAGATGAAGAATTTGTTTCAAAGAAAAAGAGAAAATATGAATACTATTAAATATTATGTGTTCTTAATATGTATTGCGTAATAACTAGTAAGAATTATCAATATGTTTACTTCTTTATAATTGCGCATCAAATGGAGCATTTCTCTATGTTGAATCCGAATCTTTCGGCGCATCATTGGATTCAGAATTTTCAGGCTGTGAGGAACTACCTGTATCATCGGGTTTAGAATCATCTGCAGGCTTTGAAGAACTATCTGTATCATCGGGGTTTGAATCATCAGCAGGCTTTGAAGAACTACCTGTGTCATCGGGTTTAGAATCATCAGCAGGTTTTGAGGAACTACCTGTATCATCGGGTTTTGAATCATCAGCAGGCTTTGTAGAACTGTCTGTACCATTAGATTTTGAATCATCAGTCGGCTTTGTAGAACTGTCTGTACCATTAGATTTTGAATCGTCAGTCGGCTTTGTAGAACTGTCTGTACCATTAGATTTTGAATCGTCAGTCGGCTTTGTAGAACTGTCTGTACCATTAGATTTTGAATCGTCAGTCGGCTTTGTAGAACTGTCTGTACCATTAGATTTTGAATCGTCAGTCGGCTTCGTAGAACTGTCTGTACCATTAGATTTTGAATCGTCAGTCGGCTTCGTAGAACTGTCTGTACCATTAGATTTTGAATCGTCAGTCGGCTTCGTAGAACTGTCTGTACCATTAGATTTTGAATCGTCAGTCGGCTTTGTAGAACTGTCTGTACCATTAGATTTTGAATCGTCAGTCGGCTTTGTAGAACTGTCTGTACCATTAGATTTTGAATCGTCAGTCGGCTTTGTAGAACTGTCTGTACCATTAGATTTTGAATCGTCAGTCGGCTTCGTAGAACTGTCTGTACCATTAGATTTTGAATCGTCAGTCGGCTTCGTAGAACTGTCTGTACCATTAGATTTTGAATCGTCAGTCGGCTTCGTAGAACTGTCTGTACCATTAGATTTTGAATCGTCAGTCGGCTTCGTAGAACTGTCTGTACCATTAGAAGTGGGTTCATTGCCTTCATTCCCTTTAGCATTTTTGTTAGATTGATTTATTGACAGATTTATTTGATAACTTGATTTATTTTTACCAGGTTTCTTATTTGAAATCTTTGCGTACAGAATCGGGTATGGAATTGGTGTGTTACCACCACAGCAACAATTGCAACCGCAGTTATTGTTACCATTATTATTTCTTCCCGACATTTGAACAGACAATAATATACCTACATCGTCATCGTCTTTGTCAATATAAGTTGGAACACCACTCTGACATGATGGTATCATCATTTGTGCTGTGACCTGATGTGGTACCTATAAATAAAAATAAATATATGTATTAATTTATAATGGTAGCTTTTTATATGAATTATTTTCTTAATAATATATTAATAATTTGATAAGATCTCTTCAAGTCCCTTCTTCAGGCTTCTCAATATTATGACTATGATGAGAATGGAAATGACAAGATCGGGAAGGCATTATAGCAAGTAACTAGGTTTTGCCTTAGACAACAAGAGGAAGCATTAAATGTAAAATATCTTAAATAACCTTCATCAATTAATAATTATTTCTTAAATTTGTGTTGTATACGTTTAAAAAAAGGAGTATATTGAAAGTAGCAACACCAAAACTACTTATTGACAATTTGTCAAAGGAAGCATTTTTCCAAATGAATTTTAATGCTTGTGAGCTAATCGGTTGTTTTTGTATAAACTGAGATATTTAATCTATTCTAAACACATAATTATGAAAATAAGTACGAACAAAATTACCTCTATCTATTATAATATTTACAAGTTACGAAAATAATTCATTTTAAACAATTGTTGATAAAAAATATTACTCAAGATAATGTATTGTTGTTACAAAACAATATTACAATAATCTTACCTGAATACTCACGAAATATGCCACAATTATACATAGATATATAGACAATGACTTCATTATTCAATTTAATTTACAACTTAATATAAATAATTATGTTTCATCAATATTTTTGATATATAACATTAGGATTGCATAAAAAAATATCAAATCAGATCGGTTTTAAATCACTTTGAATGGTAGTTACAATAAACGTGAGTAGAAATAAATGATATCTTTTTAAATTTTAAAATATTAACAGGAATTGTAATATCTAAAATTTCTATGCAATAATGTTATCAGTATGTAACCACAAATATGTATATACTATGAGCATACTTTTTTATAACTAAGACCTAATTATAAACGTTCTTTTCATTTGCTTGGCTTTGTCACTAGTAAGCGGTGGGGATACGGACATGAGTTTGCCTACTTCTTTGTTATATTAGGGACCATCTATGTACATATGTATTACGTGGTATTTAATGAATTTTTGACGCCTCCTATCTAGCTAGTCCAATATGCCATTCAGAGAAACAAAGCATGATAAATCCATACTGGACGCTAATGTATAACCAGATCTATGCTGAAAAGAATTGCATTTAGTGATTTATTATATATAGACCTAATTGTACTACGCAAGTCATCATTATCATCATTACCTACAGAATATAAAATAAAGTCGCTGTTGCTGTCTGTCTCTATGTATGCTTAAATCTTTAAAACTACACAACGGATTTTGAAGCGGTTTTTTATAACAGATAGAGTGATTCTAGAGGAAGGTTTGTATATATAATAATACATGGAAACACGTGCGAAGCCGGGGCGAGTAGCTAATTATCGATAAAGCAAGAGTTTTTTTTTTAATAAGAATCGTCCTGAAGAACCTTTTTTTACGGAAGTACAACACTATCAATTAAATGTAAACTGTAACTATATATAATAAGGAATAAGGATAAGAAAAAAAGAGATGTGGATAGAAAATTGTATAATTGAATTAACAATATAATTGAAATTATCGTTCTTGATACAAATTTGTGTTATTGTTGTTGTTTATAAAGTACAAAAGGTAACAAAATAAGTATAACGTAAGGTTTTATGTATTATAAAAGTATAACTAAATGTTTCTAAATTAAAAAAATACCTTCTTTTTTTAATTTTCTA